TGAGTCCACTGTCAGAGGCCATAAGAAGATCATTTGTAACCTTCACTAAAGCTGTTTCTGTGCTGTGATGAGCTCTGAAACCTGACTGAAACTCCTTAAATAAACCATTCCTCTGCCGATGATCAGTTAGCTGTTTGACAACTACTCTTTCAAGGATGTTTGATATGAAAGGAAGGTTGGAGATTGGCCTGTAATTAGCTAAGACTGCTGGGTCTAGAGATGGCTTTTTGAGTAAAGGTTTAAATACTGCCAGCTTGAAGGCCTGTGGTACATAGCCAATTATTAGAGATAGGTTGATCAGATTTAAGATTAAAGCATTAATTATTGGCAGGACTTCTTTGAGCAGTTTTGTAGGAATGGGGTCTAAAAGACACGTTGATGGTTTGGAGGAAGAAATTATTGAAGTTAACCCAGAAAGATCAATTGGAGAAAAAGAGTCCAAATGAATATCAGTGGTACTAAGAGTAGCTGTAGATGATATTACATCTGTGGGATGATTATTGGTAATTTTTTTCTCTAATGATAAAAATTTTATTTGTGAAGAAGTTTATGAAGTCATTACTAGTTAACGTTAAAGGGATGGTTTGCTCAATAGAGCTCTGACTGTTTGTCAGCCTGGCTACAGTGCTGAAGAGAAACCTGGCGTTGTTCTTATTTTCTTCAATCAGTGACAAATAGTAAGATGTTCTGGCTTTGCGGAGGGCTTTCTTATAAAGCCCTGATGAGGTACAACACAAATACTATGGCAAGGGGGAGCCAGGACGCCAGCAGGAGATATTATCATCCCCACCCGAGATTTTTTTGTTGTTTTTGTTTTTTGTTTTTTGCGTATAATAAGTTTCCATTATGTATTGTGACCATGATTTGTGTAAAGTGATTTCAATTAATAATAATTAAAAAAAAGATTTCTGCTGCTTTGTTCTTACTTCTTTTCTTTTTTTTCTTATTTTGTTAATAAATACATCATTTTTGTAACCACTGCTATGCTGTGTATCACAAAGAGCAGCAGCCCACCATAACTCTTAAAGTAGGAAAACAAGAAGCTTCATCAACTATTCTTTATCTATTTTCCATATTATTACAGACATGTTTTAAGTTTTCATCTGGGAAATTAGAACAAAATGATGATTTTATAATCCTATCTTGAAATCAGAGTACTCTGAATTTTACCTATGTAAAAGTTCAGCAACAACTAAAATAATTATTTGGCAGACGAAACTTTTTGATGATGATGTTTATGTTTAAGTTCATTAGGTTAGCTAAGTTCACTTGTTTATCAGATGCCCCTCGTGTTTTCTACCCCTGTATTGAAGTTTACCTTACCCTTTATGTGTTTCATGTTTGTGTGTCTTATGTTATCAAGTCCTCCAGTCTTCGCTGTGTGTTCGTGTTTAATCTGTTTTATCAAAGAACTGAAGTTTCTTTTATTTATTTTTTTAAATGATATGTAGTGAGCCTGAGGCTCAGTGCCCTTTTATCCTTTTAAATGTGTTGTGTCCTGTGCAGTGATGGGCAGTAATGCGTTACAGTAATCAGATTACTTTTTCAAGTAACGAGTAAAGTAAGGGATTACTATTGCAAAAAAGGTAATTAGATTACTGTTACTCTCCGTAAGCGTT